TTCTTTCCACTGCAAATGCTCCCCCATTCTTCTTTTTAGAAACCTCTGGCACGTCTCAAACAGTAGCAAATCTATATTAAACTCTTCTTTTAAGGCTTCTGTGTGCCTTCCCTATTTCACATTTTTCTCTCAGATTAATTTAGGCAAACTTTAGCATCCTGCAGCTTTATTCATAACATTCCACTCACTCAAAACAAGTGAATAACGAGACAAGAGGAGCTCCCTATTAAGTATACACACCTATATACTGCATGTGTAAAAGCCCCTCAGTGGTACAGATCCTTCCTTCTGACTTTTCTGCCTGCTGAATACTGAAAATACTTTCTTCCCCTCAGATGCACTGATTAGGAAAAACCTCACACCTACTACAAAAGAAACAAGAAAAAGGAAACTCCTAGAAAAGGCAAAGGATTGTCTCATAACCACCTATCTCACAGGGTACACAGCTTTGCAGGAGGCTGCACATTCCAGTCTTCAAGTGACTGCTGCTCTCTGCAAGTCAAGCGACAACTCCCCCCTGAGAATCACTTCTACCTAGAATAAGCAATATTTTTATAAATAACTATTTACACCATAAGAATGAACCCCATATTATCGCATTTAAAGTGTGCTACTTAATCTGCATCTCCCCCAGCTTTGCTTCATTGATATATTGGGCATCAGTCAAGTGAAAACCAAAAACAATGTCCCTCTTGGCTGGCTACCTCTGCTTTTCTTCAGGGCAACACAGACACACTTTTCAGAGGACTGAAGAATATGTGAAGCCTTCAAAATGCCCTGGAGCTAAAAATGCCTGCACACAACACTGTGGGAAACCTTACCTTCTTCAAAGCACGGAGAAAAAATACAGACAAAACTATCCTCAATAACTCATGAATGCCAATGGGATTTGGACTCAAGTGATCCCAATGGCCTTTTACTTTCTAAAACTATTCAGCCATATTCATTTCTCCACAAACTAGGTTTTAAATTGCCATCACATATTAGGTCCTCCACGACCTAATCTTTGCAGCTTTTTCTGGTTTTCCGTCATACGAAGGATCAGGCAAACACCACATGTAAATACTGTGCACATCTTTTTTTTTTTCCTCCTCCTGTATTAAACGAGCAGAGCATCAAAGAACTTACAAATTTCCTTAACATTAACCAATGTTTACTACAACTGAAATTCCTTAGACTGAAAACTAACAATTAATTAGAAACACATTGCACATCGAAGTCACAATACTAACGTTTCAAGATTATGCTTCTTCCCATTCAGATCAGTGAACAAAATCTTTCCACCAGTACAGCAAATTTCCACTTAGACAGCAATGAAACTGTAGCTTATGCATACTAAAATTTCCAAGTCTTACTCCACAAATATTTCTTGAGCTACTGAAAATTAAATAATCAAAAAATCAGAGTATCTTCTCTGTAACTGAATCACATGGTAACATGAAGCAACTTTTAAGGTGTGAAATATACTTAAGGGCCTGAAAAAAGCAAATATTCGTTCCTGCCAGTAGTTAAAACACTCAGATAATTTAGGAGTGTATTATACCATGTAAATCATTAGATTCTTTTAAAACTTGGGGAAGCTGAAAGGTCAGAAAGGCAAGTTGTCCACCATTCTTTACCTGTTTCCTATTATTAACCCCAAAATCATTGGTCTTTTTTACAAAGCTATGTGGCTAGACAGATAAAATCTCAGGTCTGGCTAGCACAGTTACGAATGTTTGAAAACCAGAAGTTCTTAGACGCTTTCATAAATTCAGCACTGGCCAGTTAAATCACAGCTGTGATTTGTTCTAATTTTTTCATTACATTTTCACTGAACTAGAAGCCACAGACTAAACACCTTCCTATACACTGTGTTAACATCGGGAAAATATCAAAACATATTATATGGACATAAGCAAAATGCACGAATGGTACAATAAAATTTGGCTTTAAAAAGGTTACACGCACCTTCTAAATTCTGAGTATAAGGAAACCAATGCAGTACAATTATGCCAGAAAAGCCATGGGTGCTTATAAAACGCTGTGCAGCTGTTGGAGGAGAGGGTTACAGTGACAAACAGCTTCCCTGCTACAAAGGTGGCAGGAAATCTATCAAACTGGACAATAAAATTGCAATTGAGTTTCTTTGGCTTTTTATAGCAGCTGCATGTATCTTGATGTGTAGCTCTGCAAAACCTATCCAATTCTGTAACACTAGTCCTTTATGTACTAGTTCTTTATCATAGAGTGGTGTTATAAATTAGTGGTGAGAATGGCGTGAAGGGTTGTAAAAAGGAAAAATAAGCAGTAACCCAATACAATTAGAGATGAAATAACAAAAACCCAAACTGGTTATTCTCTTAGCAATGCTAAGGAAATATTTTTGTTCCCATAACTCCCACATTACTTTGAAAGCATGCTAGAAATCAAAAACATCTGAGATGCACTTAGCATCGAACAATTTGCCCACTGAGTTATGCCTACACTACGCTAGGGTGAATCTATATGAACTTCAGTACTGGTATAACAGGATACAAGAATATTCAAAATAAGTAGAACTAGAGGGGTTAAAAATTCATTATCATTAGATATTAATAACTATTTATAAGGACATTTTCAAGCGATCAGTAAGGTTTTACCACAAAGAGGTTTTTTTAATTTATCCTAATTTATGATTATGTAATTAAAAGACAGCTGCAAAATATCATGTAGCTTTATATTGCCAGTTGCATAAACTCCATGTATTATAACAAAGTTCAAAACGGCATATGCATAATAAACGTAAAAAAATCCAGTATTAAAATCCTTGATTATTGCATTCATTTAACTGCTGTTCAGTTAGTTCCAGGTGCTTTTGTTGCTTTGACCATTTTCATTTAGGCTTCTGGAAACTGGATAATATCAGCACCAATGTCCAAGTGAACTGAACTGCTTTACAATTTCTTCAGAATTACAGCCCCCACTCTGCCACTAGCTCTGCCCACACCCACACGCTTCCAACCTTGCCATTGTTCAACTGGCTCTGAAGAAGGCTGGAAGAACAAACAGCCCTTATATACCGATTGGAAAGCCAACCCAAGTTAAGACTTGGGAAAACGGATGCAGGAAGTTAATTCCACAACCAAGGGTACCTCACTATGCCAGCGGGCCAGGAATCAAAAATGAGAAATGCAGAGTGAAGCAGGTCATTTTCTCGCTCACTATGGTACTGCGTAAAAACACACAGCCTTTCAGAAAAAACACAAATCGGAAGTTATATTATCGCTATCTCAGTTTTTTGCTCTTTTCTGAAAGTGGATTTTTTCCTTAACATTTGGCTGTGGCATCACAATAAAATCTTGGTTTTTTCCTTTATGAACTCTAGACCATTGATTGGCCACATTAAGTAACTGAAGATAACGAGCAAAAATCTATACAATCATTTTGACATAGAAACAGTTTAAATCTGATTTCCTCTACTCTATTCTTAGACACTTTTTATAAGATAATGACAGCTTCTAAAGTAACACACTAAGTGATGTTTAAATTCAATACACCAAAGTTCTGTAAAACAGGTAGGAAGGCGGTCTCTTCCTTCACTCACCTCTCCCATTTTTCCCCTGGGACAGTTCCCCAGCAATTCCCAGCAACCACACCAACGCTTTAAGTTAAGCCAAGTTCTGTAAAAGCACGTTAGGGATCTTGACTCTGGCTACAGCTTGCCACTGTACAGTCTACTCCACCCACACCCTCTGCATCTTGGCAGAGAGGGAGGGAATGGGTTTTCTGAAGAGTGTGGAGCCGACACAAAAGAACATCAAGAATATCGCAACAATTAAAATGTGACCGTCACATGGGTTAAAATTTGGCCTTGCGTTCTTTGCATCTGGAGTACATTTAGCTAAGTGACCATCTAATGATATTTCACACACTTCTATCATTCAGATGTCTACATTTCATAGAATCATAGAACCATAGAACAATTCAGGTTGGAAAAGACCCTTGGGATCATCAAGTCCAACCATTAACCCTACACTACAAGTTCACCCCTAAACCACACCACCCACCACCACATATTTTTTAATTTTCTCTATGCGGCCCAATAATCTACCATTGAGCTATGAACGCAATAAAGAGCTGCAAAATAACAGTGTCATTGCTGTCTGCAGAGACTGACTTCTTTTTGAGAAAAAATTCATACAAAAAATCAAGGACTTCAGAAATGCTAACAATTGCTTAGAATCATAAAGTGATCTTTAGGATTTGCAGATGTCCTTTCTGCACCATTAAGTTGCACACATATAGAAATACATAATTAACAATTTAATTCATCTTAAGTAAATATTTCTGATAAACCAGAATAATTACAAGGCCCACATTGTCCTCACTCTTTTGTAGAGAATAGGGTAAGGCAATTACCTTTTATAATACTGTGCCTTATTCGAAGATCCACTAGTAACTTTTATGACATAATTCAGGTTGCAACCATAACAAAAAAATATCATAGAGAAGAATAATGAAGGGTAACACTCTCGTTCATACTGCAAGGATTTGCATTCTCACTCTGTATTCCAGCTGAAGCATCTGGCTTAACTTTGATTTCTTTGCTTTCTACTGATTTGTTTTACGGTCTTCTGATGTTAGTAAAACGCATTTTTTTATGAATAGATATGGTGCGCCACCTTGTGTTCGTGCCATGAGTAAGAAGCAAAAGCCAGCACTAAGATTTTTCAGAGATGCTCCTTAAATTTGACTAACTCATGTTTTAAAATATGTGCTATTTTCAGTATAAATAATAATATAACAATATAATAATAAAACAATTTGAGCAAAGACAAAATAAGATTTATGTTAAAATAACAGAATTACCATTTAATCATCAAATATTTGAAAGTTGTGCTCTGTAACAGATATAAAAACCAAGCTTTATCGATTGAACTTTTCACTTCAAGACTATCTCACTGTATGATGCAGCACTTCAAGGCCCTAAATCTAATTACACAACATAACCAAATTTCCCAACTATTTCAAACACTCACCTTTGAATGTGTGATCGACAGTGTATCCACCCAAACACGCCAGCCACCCCACTCATATTTGATTGCATGGTAGAGCAAAATTCGAAATATAGTATACACCATCTCCGTTATCTTCTGTTCCTCCGAAGTCTTTGGATTAAAACAGCAAAGGGAAAGCATCCATTCCTGCCAGACAGAGCACTGCAACAAACTCCTGCAAAATACACAAATGTTATTTAGCCAAAATTCAAAATACATCTTTGAAATACATATCACCTAAGTGAGGAATTCAACATGTTTAAAAAAACTGCTACAGGCAAGCTTTTCTGATTTTACATATTGAAGACTACACTAGAGTACAGAATTTGCTGAACAGCAATGAAGCTCTATCTGCTTAAAGAGTCTAATTTACTAGGAGTCCTTGTTACTTACTCTGTATATATGTGCATATTACAAGATACCTTACCTCCTATTTTCTCTGCTGTTATTAAAAAGTTTAATCATATCTGAGAGAAAGGCTCGCCGAATCTCCAGAGTTTCCGGACACTGTGGAGAATTACGAAGCAGGATTGCAATAACCTTCAAAATCTCTGTAAAACAGTTCATGAGCAACAAAATATAAGTACTAAGCACAGCATAAAATACAGGACATCTTCCAACACTGTCTGTACAAGAAAAGCGATGCCACAAAATTCTACACTGAGAAAAAGCACATCTCTATTTGAGTAGAAGGTTTAAATAATGCAAATCCTTCTTCCAGGAGTTCCCAAACCTGGTCACCCATCAGGGGATTTGCAGGCCTATACAGCTGAAGAATCATAGAATCATAGAATCACAGAATGGCCTAGGCTGGAAGGGACCTTAGAGATCATCTAGTCCAACTTCCCTGTCATGGGCAGGGACACCTCTCAACTAGATCAGGCTACTCAAGGCTCCATCCAACTTGGCCTTGAACATCTTGGATGGAGCCTTGAGTAGCCGAAAATGGAATCCAAGTTATATTATTCAGGATTTTTTTTGAAAAGTCAGGTTTAAGCAACACAAATAGTACTGCATGAGAAATGATGACTTATGAGAATCTGTCAGAAGCATTTTCTAAGAAAGTGCAAATAATACAATGCATCCATTACAAAAATAAGAGAAAAATGCATAGATTTTCCTCTACCTCAACAATACCGAATTTTCAAAGAATGTGAACAACTTCCGATTATACTTAACAGTTTCTGTTATAAAAAAAAGTTAGAGGCAGAGCACAAAACTTTCTTGGTATAAAATTTCAGCTCTTAAAGGCATAACATTTTTTATATTTTTAGAAGACCGTCAAGATTGTGGGTACATTCTACTTTTTGAAGCAGTGGGGTAGACACTGTTTCTATTACTTTAAAAATAGTTCACTTTGTAAACAAATTAGGGTGCAACTCAAACACAGGCACAGTGATAGTTTCAGTTCACCTTATGCAACTTCTTTAAAAAGATAAATTCCTTATCTGATAACAGTAGCACTGATCTTGAAAATGTGCTCTAGAAGTCACTCTTCCTAATAGGCCTAGATAATTCCAGATTCATACCATAGACTACAAATAATCTGTATAAACCACAGCAGTGACTGCCAACTTCAAAAATCCTAACAAAAAGTAACAGATACCTCCTCATATCTCTTGCTTTGCACAGATTTACCAGAATGCCAACAGCATAGAGCAACTGTATTTCCTTCCTCTGTATCTCCTCTTTCCCCACTTTCCACATGAGGCAAAGCAAGAACTACAGCCTACATTTAATGACAAAGCAGTTATGAAAGTGAAAAATCTATTATTTCTCCAGAAAAAAATGAACTCCCAAAGTGATCGTTAGTCCCTTGTATTATATACAGAGCACATTAATAATACATGTAATTCAGGAAAGGAGATCAGTATTTTCTCTTAGTTCAAAAGACATCTAAAGTTTCATATCAAGATATTTCCCATAAAGTAAGCTAAACAAAACAGTGAGCAGATACATTTCTCCTAACTTCCATCCAGTGTTGTCATACTGAACATAATTTAAGATGATGGCTGTTTCCATATTTCAGGTAATTTAGTCTGACATCACTAAATAATGCAATCAGAATTTTGCTGGAACCTTAACGTATTAAATCAAAGTATCCTGTGCATGCGAGTCTTGAAAAAATCATTTCATAACATAACTGCACAACTAAAAAGGGTGAGTTACAAACTACATACACATTTAGACACATAAGAAATCTTTCAAGAAGCAGAGAGACGTACTTCCTAAATAACTCCAACTAAATGCACATTATCTTTCCTTTTGTATGAAAAACAATGTAAGACTGAGATCAGAATTAAGACTGGTGGATGCAGTCAATAAGCTTTCTCATTTCTTACAGTAATACTTAAAAATGTCTATCATTCTTACGAGGATTTTGTATCTTCACTGTTGAATCTGGGTCAGGATGTTGCTTATGTACCACTTGAGTGCAAATCTGTTCAGTCAGAATCTAGCAGGAAAGAAGTAGACGACATATCAATGTTTGTAACGACAGCTTCCTGGAAAATAGTTGCATATATCCTTCATACAGCTCCATCATTATTTGACCGCAATTCTAAAAATTATCCAAAACTTCCACCTGTCTGTCTTGATAATTTATTTCATCCTCTTCCTAAAGTTTTACTCTTTCTTTTTTTTTTTTTCTCTTAAGTGCACACTGTTACTTTAAATACACCGGAAAAGAAATCTGAATCTAATCAAAACAATCATCATAAGGCAAGATCATTGGTGTAATAAAATTCCACATACCTATGAGTATCTACTTGAGAGAGGTTACTCATTATCTAGAATTGTTCATAATGAGCATAACCAAGTTAAGGGGGGTAAAAAAATTCTCAAGTAGCGAGATCTGGGGAGGGGGGGGGAAGGAAAAAAAAGCAGCAGTCAGCTGCATCACACTAAAGTTTAATGTCATCTGGAACATATCAGCACAAATATGTAAGCAATTTTCTAACAATGTCTTACAAGTAATTAGAAAGATTGGGCCCTAACTACAGTATATTACTACCTCAAACAGGACATTGTATGTGGTCATGGTGATTAAGCTTGTCTGAAGCATCAGCCTTTCAGCCAACAAAGAGAACAATCCGTGTCCAAGCATGACTTCAGCTTTTCTCCTAAAATAGTATAGAAAGATAAAATAAACTTTTGTATTCAACTTGCTTTAGGGGAAATAAAAAAAAAAGTAAAAACTGTGCCTCAAGAAATATGAAATGACTGGAATCATCTTTTTTCTTTTTTGTTCCTTAAGTCTCTTCACTTTTGCTTAAGGAAACGGGCAAGGATTCAAATTCTGAAAGGACAAGTCATTCCCTGAAGACAGACAGAAGGCAGCTAAGTTTCTTCTACACATGCGCTCCACTTGTCCCTGGACCCAAAAAGCTGAAACACACCCTTAGGGATTTCTTGATAAACACTATGGAAAGGGCATCTTTGTCCTCATTTCACTCAAAACCACAACCATGGACAGTGATCTCAAGAGTTCTCTACACATTAAGTTCTCAGTAAGTAACACAAGGTTCAATCCTACCAGTCTAATTCTTGCTACCGATTTCAGCAGAATTACGGAAAAAGAGCACTTTGAAAAGCAGGGAGCCATACTGCAAGTAATTATTAAATGAACTTGTTAAGGACTGGACTCTAGTTGCCAATAACAAGTAATCCCACCACATCAGAAATGTATTAATGACAAACAGCTTGAAGAGTACTTGAACAGTAGCTCCTGTTCAGTGAACTGTAGTGATTAACCTCCAATACAGCTTTTTTTACTTTATATACAAACTCATGCACATATATACACACAAAATAATATATGGCATCTATGTGTCACATCCTACCTTTTCTTCCTTCTTTTTGATGGGAGGTTGTTTTAAGACCTAAACCAATACTTACTTTGGAGCAAGATGCTTTAAGAAATATCCCATCACTTTTAGAGCTTGCACTCTGATGCCTTCACTTTGTGATGCTAAAAGCTTGTAGATAACCCTAAGTGGAGAAAACACAAGGCTTCCTAAAATAGTTGAAATACACAGAAATTTTTGGAATGACAAATTAACCGCAGTAGACTGCAAATAAATTTGTATCTGAGCCTAATTTTAGAAAACAACTATTAAGTGACTACAAAAAACAGCATGACCTTTCTGCTAACGGCACAATAGTTTGTGATTCCACATTTTATAATTAGAGTTTTTTAATCAAATTTAAATATGTCCCAAAAAATCAGTACATAACACATGCTGTGAAGGACTGTTGCAATTCCTATACTGAGAACTGTCCTAATCTAACAATCCTTTTGTTATAAATGTGGATGGGTAGGAATAGCCATGTGTGGAGGGAGATTTATTAGTAGCACTAATATCTGACATCTGTGCATGTTCTTGCTCCCTCAGAAGTGACAGAAGACAACACCAAGTCAGGAAGCATTCTTCTTCTTCCAGCTACATCAGTTTCTGCTCTTCATCTCCGTATGATTATGCTGTACCCCAGTTTCTGATTCTCCACTAAGGAGGTTGAAGAAGAAAGCCGAAGGGAGCAAGGGGCTTGTCTGTAGCAAAGTACTAGACTTAATGAGCTGAACAGTTCCAGCTGAAGTTTTCTCAAGAAAGAAAACGAGAGTGTAACAAATGCAGCAAGGAAAGCTTCAATGCAACTGATGAGTCTGTTAAATTAATAAACAATTGGAAGTGCAGTCTTACAGTGGGAAGTGTCCAGTAACCTTAAGTATTTTTGACATTACCAACTCAATCTGTAATTCTGCACAGGTCTCACCACATGTATCTATGCCTTCTACTCCACAAATAAAAAGGAGCTGCACTAGTATTTAACTTTAACTTCTCAAACTTATTTGCCGTACATTGAAGCTTAATCTTTAATTCAAGGAAGTTTATTTACACAGTGAAAAATTCTAATATTGGCCTTCTGTCAATGTGAAGAATAACAAATGCAGCGTTTTGATCTGTGTAAATCTCCCATAAAAACATAAAACATCTGAGCGTCTTTATCAGTTAGATCTCATTTCATTCACAGCTTACTTTCTAGACAACAAAGTGCTGATGATCATTTCATTATCTGATTTTAGTTGGGCTATGGCTCATGGTATTGGACAGATCTTGGATTCTGTGAAATATGATTGAGTTTATACCTACACAAACTACTAAGTTCTTCCTGAAAAAAGAAAATATTAATTTCCTAATGCTCCATGAAACGACATTGGAACAGAAGGCACTGTACTCAGCCTTTACTGAGAATATTTTCCAAGTAAATTTTTGAGGAAATTTGTATAACTTTATCAGGGGGAAGGAAAAAAAAAAAAAAAAATCTAATTTCAGTGATTCCTGACTCTTTGCAAAGAGTCCAAAAGACTTGTTCAAGTTTTTAGGCCTCATCTGTACATAATTGAGTACACATCACTAGTTATATATTCCTTTACTTTTACATATCTAAAAATACTACACAGGATACCTAAACTAAGATTAAACAAAAAATAAAACTAGCTCTATACCTGAATTTAAGCAAAAACCCAGGAATGATTAAAAAACAGTTAACAATTAACTTATCCTGGAGAAAGCTGCAGCAACTACAGAATCAAACAAACAAGTAATCCAAAAAAACAATGTTTATTCAAGCAGTATAATCCATTTCCCTGCTTGTCTTAACAGACAGTATGAGGGTTACCTAATTGCACAGGAAAAAAAAATATTTTCTTACACTTGTTATTGCTTCATCAGACTGGTTATTTCTAAAATCTTGATTATTAAAAAACTCCAAATATTTTACGATGCATTGCAAAATTCTTTTTCGAGAATATGGTGTTTTAATTGCAAAGAGTAGATGTATCAATAAGCATACAAACAATTCGTTAAGTGACTGGAGACAACACAGGAGCAAGGAATGTAACGAATGAGACAGCAGAACAAAGTGATTTCTCACTGTGGACTCACTACTCATACTGACTTGCCCATACACTAGTTAATAAAAAAGAAAATGTCTACTGCCAGTTGTTAAATAAAACCAAACATATTGCATTGGAGATCCAAAATGACATTCAAATATTTCATTATTTAGAGGTTTCGTTAGTTTCCCATAGCATAATACATTACCATACAAATGAAGTCAAAGCTGAAGAAAATGGGCAAAATAAATAAATAAATAAATAAATAAATAAATAAATAAATAAATTCAATCAAGCACTGAAAGAGGAGAAAACAATTATGACCATGCCTGAATGCTGCCTCTTGAGAAACAGCAACAGAAAAAAATGTATGTATAAATAGGGGTTAACCAATAGGTGCAACAAAATGTATGAAATGAGTGCCTTTATACAGCAAGAGAATAACTACTCCATATACCCTTCTAGGAATAGTTCTTACATTTGTCTGCCTGTTCCAAATTTTTCCCCACTAAGTCCAGGCAGGTTCATTTTAAATTAGAAATGTTCAATAATGTGATGACCCTCTGAGAGCTACAACGCAAAATCAGAGTCATAACTTAGTCTTTTTCTGGCAAATCTTCTCTTGTGCTTTTACTATTAGTA